CATATTTTGTGTCCATGAAAAAACTATTACAGAAAATATTACAATATTAAAGAACTGTTCTTGTTAATTTGATGACAACATTTTAAATATCCAGTGCACTCACATCAGAATAACTTATAGATTTGTTGTTAGAATAATCAATTAATCAAAAAAATAATCGTTAGATTAATCGATTAGAAAATAATCGTTTGGTACAGCTTTGGTACAGCACTAGTCTGTGGACAACATTACTCAAAAACTTGTGGACGGATTGTCATGACATTTTTAACACATGTGGGTACTGGCTCAAGTAGCACACCTTTAAATGTTGGTGATGTTCCTGATCACGATGTGGATACGGGAATTTTTTTTCTTTAAACACCTTGAGATGGGCAAAGCTGTGATGCTTTCACAGGGCGTGGGTTTCAAAGTGTCCAGCAGGTGGCACTGTAGTGTTGGTGTGCCCCTTTGTAACTCTATTACAGGATGGGGGAAATTGGTCTTGGCGGTGGTTTGCACTCTCAGAGTGCTTCTAGTTACACATGGATTGGCTCCACAGAGTCCATTGGAAATCTTTGGCTTGTGCTGGATTTGAAGCGGTCAGGCTCTACCATCATCATCAAGGCAAGGTCTTGGTGAAGAATTAATGCAACACTGGATGGAAAAAAATCTTGTGACATTGCAGAAGCTTATCGAAACAGTGCCACAGAGCTGTAATCAAAGCTAATAGCGATCCAACAAAATATTAGTGTGTGACCTTTTTATTTTTGGTGGCAACTTGTCTTTGACCAGGCAGTGTATATGAAAAAAAAACAATATCTTATTTATTTTTAATTTATTTACCGTTATTTAACCAGGCAAGTCCCCTTGGGCAACCTATTGTACATGTTTTTAGGGGTGGGGGAAACAGGAGTGCTCAGAGAAAACCCACACAAGCATGAGGAGAATATGCAAACTCCGCACAGAAAGAACCCAGGACCTTCTTGCTGTGAGGCATCGGTACTAACCACTGAGCCGTCGTGCTGCTGACCACWTTGTTTCATCATAATCAAGCAGATGTTCTCAAGTCATCAAAGAAGTAGCAGTTTAATTTTTGTATTAGGTGTTAAAGTCTAACTTTAGTTAAAACACAAGACAAATGTTGCTGGGCTCCATGCTTTTTATTGCMGTAAAGTGATATGTTAACCAAAACAAGCAGTTTGGGGGTTTGTAAGGGAAGCTGTAATTTAAATGACCATCAACAAATAATATAATATCCACACAAACAACAATAAAATAAATGAAACTTAAAGTAGCCAAATTGTTTATTAAACTATTTTCTGACCTAAATTTAGTAACTAAATAAGTTTGTTGAC